GAGCAGGTGCCCCAGGGAATAATACAAAAATGTCGCCATCAACTCGAAGAGCTGGCTGAGTCTATTAAAGAATCCTTATTGAGGTTGCAGGAAAAAAACATCCCAATGTGTAGAAAGAACAGTAAATATGGCAGGCGACCAGCTTGGCTTAACAGTGAAATCCTTGCTGACCTTAAACGCAAAAAAGAAGCTTACAAGAAGTGGAAGATTGGACAAATGACCAAGGAGGAGTATAAAAATATTGCTCAGACGTGCAGGAGTGAAATCAGGAAGGCCAAATCACACTTGGAGTTGCAGCTAGCAAGAGATTTTAAGAGTAACAAGCAGGGTTTCTTCAGGTATGTTAGCAACAAGAAGAAAGTCAAGGAAAGTGTGGGCCCCTTACTGAATGAGGGAGGCAACCTAGTGACAGAGGATGTGGAAAAAGCTAATGTACTCAATGATATTTTTGCCTCTGTCTTCACAAACAAGGTCAGCTCCCAGACTGCTGGACTGGGCAGCACAGTATGGGGAGAAGGTGACCAGCCCTCTGTGGAGAAAGAAGTGGTTTGGGACTATTTAGAAAAACTGGACGAGCACAAGTCCATGGGGCCGGATGCCCTGCATCCGAGGGTGCTAAAGGAGTTGGCGGATGTGATTGCAGAGCCATTGGCCATTATCTTTGAAAACTCATGGCGATTGGGGGAGGTCCCGGATGACTGGAAAAAGGCTAATGTAGTGCCCATCTTTAAAAAAGGGAAGGAGGAGGATCAGGGGAACTACAGGCCATTCTCCCCGTGCTCGCATGGCGCTTCATGGACCATTGAGTAGCCTCATGACAACATCCCAGTTGTGGACACAGGCACCAGCAACCGATTCCCCAAGCCAAAGTCCCCTTGGCAATCCAGGGAGCCTTAGCCTGGGTTGTCTGGAGCTCAGGGTTTGGCTCATGGTGACTGCAGGCACTGCACCTGCTGCACAGCCGCACGGTGACTCCTGGGACCCCTCTAGCCCATCAGCACTTGGCTCTCCCGCATTCTGCTGAGCGGCTGAGATCTGGGGGAACAGAAACCCTTTGTTAGAGACGGAAAATCTCCTCCCAGGAACACTGTCAGTGGCTGCCAGAGGCCTTCCCTGTGAAACCCCAAATGTGCAGCCCCTCAGGTTCCCACTGCGGAGATCTCTGCTCTTTCACTGGTCACCTGTGGCTGCAGTCTGACGGGGGAATGTAGAGGGTTTTTTGCCAATGATCCCTTCTACAGTGCCCATAACAGGAGGAGGTTTGGCCTTGTGATGTGAGGCCTGGGTCTGAGAATCTGGGATCCTGGGATCTGTGACTCTGGAAGGGGGCGTGGTCTAGAGGGTGGAGCTGGATTGGTTGACAATGAGTGAGCGAAGCTTGTGCTGAAAGACCCTGGTTCAATCCCCTCCAATTCCTGTGGTGTCTACATGTGGCCATTACTTTACTTACCTATCAGTGTAGGTTGTTCAGACTATTCTTGGACACATTCTTACATCTGCTGCTGGCCATCCCTGAGATGTAGGTCCTTCATCCACACAAGGACATGGCATATCAAGGTCGATCCAGCAGCTCCCATCCAGTCTTCACCTCCTAATGGACGGCGAGTCTGAGCCTGACCAGAGAAAGACAGGGTGGTGTTCTTCAGGGGAATCTGCTGGAGCACCTGTATCCCCTGTTCCACTTCACTCCCCGCAAGCTAAGGGTTTTCCAAAGATACCACTAATCTCGGATAAACAAAGCAGCCAAGATGAGGTCAGTGTGGGTGGATTTACTGAGCAGACTGGTTCTAAGGGAAGAACAGATTTCTTCCCTGCTCTAGGGAGATTACCACCGGAAAAGTCTCTGATGGTGGGGATGGGGGCAATGGAAGCCCCAGCCCCTTGGATGGCAGGAAATCAGGACTCAGGGAGTTAAGGGGTGTCTCTGTCCTGCTGCAGGGAGCAGACCTGGAGAGCAGAAAGGGCACTAGTGGCATTGTAGGAAAGACAGTGACTTCTACCTGTGAAGGTGGCTGAAGCTTCTTGCAGGCACTAGAGTCCAGGATCCTTACACCTCCTTTGGGGATCCTTTTCCTAGGAATAAAATCAGGACACCACACAGAGAATGACATCTGAATCCCAGGTCTGGGATCCAGGGAAAAGGTATGATCTCAGCCAGGCTATGTACCAGGAACCTGATTTTTGTCCCAAGAGCCACAGTTATCCAGAGGAGGTTTTCTTCCCCATTTGCTTTCAGGTTATTTACTCACAGTATTCATTTGTTTGCTTTGCCGTGTTTCCACTCTCTGCATCTGATCATTGGTTTAAGTAACATTCTTTCCGTTTTTGCTTCTGTTTCCTTTTATTACAGGGTAGCATCTGCTTAGCACCTTAAAAAAATCAATTAATAACAAAATCCTGATTCTACATTGAAGAGGAAAGTTTCTGAGAATTTGGCTGCAGAACTTTAGTGTCTGCATATTTCATTCACTATTCTTTATTCCGGAGCAGGTCTGATGCAATCGGCCCACCCAAGAATGCCCACATGAAGCACAGGGTGTCCTTAGAATACCTGTTAAAAGAGAGGAAGAGAGTAGATTAAAAGCGGGGAAAAAATCCAAAAAATCCAATGCATCAGCACTTCTCAGCATCATTGAAGCACCTGTCCTGGGCTCAAAACAGGTTAACAATGCCCATGGTTCTTTCCCACTAGAACCACATCCGAACAGAAAAAGCCCTTCAGCCATTTATTTCCTTACATTCTGAAGGGGTGAACTTCAGCCCTGTGCAGACAGCCAGGACAACGTCTGTGCATCACAGCAGGTTTCAGTGGCACTTCACTGCACCGGTGCTGTGAGTTTTCCTCCTGGATTGGAACAGCCAGTGGGAATCCTGTGAGGTACAGAGCAGAGAGAGGTTTGGGCCACAACGTTCACCTCAGAGGCTGAGCTTCTGCAGACTTTTGGGATGTTCCCATCTGAGGAGGATGATTTTGGCCAGCCCTAGTTCAGGGCTTTCAGTCACCTCAACCGGTGATTCTCTGGCACAATTGATCTAATGTAACTGAACTTTTCAGGCCTTGCCCCCACCTCCGACACCCCTTGTACCTCACCATTGCCCTCTAACAGCCCCTGTCCCTTCTCTTGATCCCTGCCAAGCCCAAATACAGAGCCTAGCTCACGCTCCTCCTCTCCTAGCCCTTCTCCTTACATGATCTTCCCCTACCTCTGATAAACTGATCACTGTGCCCTTCCCCAGCTCCTGGAGGAATCATGGCTCCTCAGGACAACCTGGGAATGGGTGGCTTCTACCTCCGGGTGGGGTGTGTGGTTTTCCATCTACGCATCACTGAGAGCCAGGCCTTCTCGATTTCACAGGATGAGGTTATGGCTACCCAAGCCAGGCCATCTGCAGGCTGCATTGCTGTAGGTGACATGGACAGATCCCAGAACCTGGAAGGCAGAGGGGGGAGGAAACCCCTGCTCATTTCTCTTTGAGAGCCCCCTTCAAAGATGGGCCAAGAGGGGAGGAGGGGACGAAGGGGGGCTCCCTTCGTTCTTCTTGACGGTGACCCAGGTCAATAACTGGGAAGTTCAGAGAGGTCGTTCATAGTGTGGCATGAAATTAGTGGGAAAGCTACATTTAGCAAAATAAAGGTGTCATTGGCTTTTGCAAATTTGAAACTGATCTGGCCTCTCAATCAATGCTACATGTTCACAAGGGGATGAAGCGTGCCATAGTGGTCAGGTGATCTATGAGAGTCAGTTCCATCCTGTGGCCATTTGAATCAGTGAAATTCCTGGCAATGGTTATCCATGGCCGGGGCAGGGTCTCCAGAGGCCTGAGATGCCAATAAGTTTGGTGCGTGGTGCCTTGGTGAAAGCGCAGAAGTCACGTCAGTCAAGCTAAGTCTGAATTTCAGCCCACATCTGGCACCACCAAATGAAGCAGGCCCTGGTGGTCATAGTAGATGCATCTACTTCCATGATGAATGCTGAGCCTCCAAATAGGTGCAGTGGGGAAGGCAATTCTGAGCTGTTTGCGGGCTTGTTGGAACTTGGGTGACCAAACGATTGTGGCCGTTATGTGGAGGAGAGCTCTCGTGGGGGTTACTGGCTCTGAGAACCCTGGGCGGAAGCAGCAGTAAAGCGGGTGAAGTCTAGGCAGCACTGCTCTTCTTGAGGACTTCAAACTTCGTCCCATCTATGAATGGCTTCCACTTTATTTGGATCAATCGTAACACTTTTTGGGGAGAGGATGTACCCCAAAACCTCTGAGGAGAGTTGGCTAGAGGTACGCTTTTCCAATTCCGTGTTGAGACCATGCTGCCAAAACCTCTCCAGGTTCGGGTGTGGTGTGCATGCTGCTCTGGGTTCTCCAGAAAGAGAAGTATGTTACCTGAATAGATGGCACTGTGTGGATCCACAATGTCCCCAAATACATCACTGATGACGTGTTGCAAGGTGAGGGGACCGTTAGTTCGCTCAAATGACATATCAGACAGTTAAAATGTCCATAGTGTGCTTTGAAATCTGTTTTCCATTTGTCCCCTGCCCAAATGAGTATTAGATTGGAAATCCTCGCAGATGAAGTTTGATGAACAACTTTGCAGATTTCCTGTGAGCCAACAATTGTGGGATTCACAGCAGGAGGTAATGGTTCCAAACGATCACTTTTTTCAGGGGCTGATTGTCTAAAGAGAGGCGTAGTAGCGTCCCACATTTCTTCTTCCCAAAAAGGGCCTGGGCACCCGTGGGAAACGCATGTTTGCTCATAAACTCTTAGGACCAGTTTTTAGAACTGTACGCAGGGAGAGCCACTAATTCTGGTTCCAACAATGTGTAAATACTGGTGAAGGCAACTTTCAACCAAGGCTGTAGGAAAATAGGGCAGTCATAGTCCCGGTGCAGAGGTAACGAGTCCCCATTTCTTTCAAAGGTATCCATGTAATCCGGGCATTTATCAGGAATGCCAGGTGTCTGAGTCAAGAATGGTAGAGTAGGTCCAGGGGCGGAGGCTGGTTAAAGGAACTCCAACATTTTCAGTCATTTCCATTGCACAATTCCAGTAGGAGCAGCATCGCACCAGGCTCATGTAGTGAGGTCATTGTTCACACCTGGTGTGGTGTGTCCCTGTTGCATATGGGCCACTTACTTGCGGAGAGCCTGCTTTTCTGCAAAAAGTTGCACCACCTAATGTCACGTGCTGCGTCTGATAATTAGGCCCAGTGGTTGGAGCGTAGGTCGCAGGGAGGTGCAGGATTGTGCTTAGGCTAAGAGTGGTGCTAGAATCAAGGTCCAGGAACACACCAGGGTCAAAACCGAGATCAGAGTCCATCAACAAAGCAGAAGCAGAAGCAGAGACAGTGCCTAAGTCCATGCCAGAGGTCGTAGCAGGGTAGTCAGAGACCAAAGATCAGCCAAGTCAATGTCAAGCCAGAGTCCAGATACAGGCCGAGAGTCAAAGCCGGGTAATCAAAGTCCGAGTGCTTGGGGAAGATCAGGAGGCGAAGGCAATGCTGGAGCGGGTCGGTGGGGGGCCTGGAGCAGGGCTAGAGAAGGACAAGGAGAATACGGAACCAGGGTGGGTAGCCAACATCTGGAGCCAAGAAGGGTCATGCCGAAGTCATAACCAGAGACCGGAGCCAAGGGTCAAGCCAGAGTTAATAGCGAGAAACCGGAGGGCAGGGCAGGGCAGGGTGATGCATGCAGGTGGGAACCGGATGACTTACAGGTTCTCCTAGGCACTGGCCAGCTGGAGCTCTAGAGACCCCTCATTGGGGGACTCCCTTCCTAGGAATAAAAGAAGGAGAGCAAGATGACAAAGATGTCTCTGACCCTGGGGTCCAAGCCAAGGGGAGCTCCCACCCGGCATAGTGCCAGGACCCCATCACCCTCCTGGTTCCTTTCACACTCAGAGACCCCCTAGCAGGAGGGGAGAATACAGGACAGAAAGCGAAGGTGCTCCTGGGGGAAAGGGACCAGCCTGGGACCCAGTCCACTTTCCAGATCTACCCCCAGGAGTGTGTGACCAGGAGCACAGCCCTTCCTCTGTGTCTCAGACTCCACCTGCCAGATGGGGAGGAGCTTTCCTTGCCCCAAGGTGCTAGGGGGGAGTTTCATTCCTGGCTGGGAAGGGTTCAGATACCGGGTGGGTGGCTTGGGCCCCAGGTGGGGGATGGTCAGACATTCACTGCGATGGGGTGACACGGACCATGGGAAGCTCTGAGCAATGACGGCAGGGGAGGGACTCCACGTCGGACCACCCCTCCCAGACTGCAATGGTTCCTGAGGATAACCCCTGGCTCTGCGGATGCTCTCATATCTGGGCCAGTCCCACGGCCCTGACAGACTGAAACTTCCGAAACTGGCCTCTACACATGGGGGCAGGGACCGTAACTGGCCTGGCCCCAGCTCCAGGGGTCGGGGAGGGGCATGGCGGTGAGAGCGAGGTGCTCGGCCTGGGTTTCTCTCAGTGCTATGGGGTTTATGTCCACCCCCCCCAGCCCTTCTCCCCCAGGCCCAGTGAGACAGAGCAGTACCTGCGGCAGGGAGTTGGAGCTTCTGGTCATGCGAGGGGGGAGAGGGGACTTCAAAGGTGTCCCACCGCGCACAGCCCCTGCAGTGCTTTGGGCACCTGGCGTAAGCACCGGATGTAGAACAGGTGCGCCATGATTGTTGCTGTAACATCCTCCTGCTGAAAGGGATCAAGAATCAGTCAGAGACTCCGACACCCATGGCAACGAAGGACATTAACGGCAACGGGAACCGGCAGAATTTCCACCCCACCCCTTCCCCTCATCTGAGGGACGGATTCCCCCACCCAACCCCCTCCCCTCATCTGAGGGACGGATTCCCCCACCCAACCCCCGAGATGAAATCTTGTCTCTTCTCTAGTGACTTCCAACCCCACTCCCACTGTTGTGGAATGAACTCCTGCCCCCATTCCTCTCAGTCCTCCCGTGAGAGCTGTTCTACCTCCCAACCCAGCTGGGGGTTCAGCTCTGCTCCCCAGAAGCCCCTCAGCTGCCCTCTCCCCCATCCACCTGAGGGCTGGGAGGCTCTGGGCAGTAGTGCCGGGGGGTGAGAGAACGTGGACACCTTTCCCCAACGAATGCCCCTGTTGTTAAGCTGACGCCATGGACAGTGGCTCTGGGGAATGGGGCACTTGAGCAGCCTCTGCTGACTGACTCCTCCAGTTCTCCCAGAGCAGGTGGTGGCTGGGATAACACAATACCAGAGCCCTAGGAACCGTCTTGAGGCCCTGAGGGGTGGGAAATGCTCACAGAGGTCACATGGGGAATTGGCAGCCCCTAGTATGAGCAATGGCAGCGTGTCATGTTGATGTGATGAATG